GTAAGAAATCATCCCCTGCGGGGGGGAGGGTGGCTGTACCACAATCCCTTCTCCATTCTCCTCTTGGAATTTTAGCCACGTGTGCACACATACCCAGCATGTTTTCCAAGCCCCTGGGTCTGGAAAATGAGTCATGCAGTGGGCTATGTGAGATCCAGCCATGTCACTGGCTGGCCTGAGTTTATATTTTAAATAACCTAATTTTATTTATAAAGAGAAATATATGAGTAAGCAGTTTTTTGAAAGAGTATTTTATAAACCCCCTAGTCAGTGCCTATTTATTGATCCAAGAGTGGTTTTGATGTTAAAGAACATTATAACCTTTAACCCATTTGTTTAGAAATGTCAGTTTGTTTAGTTAAGCTAAGTAGATATTTGTATAAAGAGGTGATTTCAGTACGTTTTGCTGACTTCAGCATACTGAGTTGGGTTAGTTTCTACTTCAGGATATTACCTGAGAATAGTCACACATCTCTCCTTGTTTGGATAACCTTTATGAGAGATTGTACATTTTCTTTATTCATGTTTCTTTTTTTTTAAGAATTATTTTATTAACTTTTATTTATTAATTTTAATTTGACCAGAAAGGGGCAGAACAAGAGAGAGAGAGAGATAAAGAAAGAGGGAAAGGAGAAAGCAAGCCTCAAGATCCAGGACTCTTGAACTGTGGTCGGCCATGTGGCGAGTCTAGTGCCCTTCACCACCACGCTACCTCCTGGCTCCTTATGTTTCATTTTAATAACTACATTCTTTGTTGCCTTAAATTTAAGTAGTTCATTAGGAGAGAAGGTTATCACTCATTATTCTTCTGAACAGATTAATATTATAATTAGTAAGCTAATGAGCCAGTCAGTATCTGCCACAGTTCTTATATTTTTGTATTTTAACTACATAATATCTTATTAGGTCATTGGAATATTCATGATGCACTTTTGCATAGAAAAACATCATTGCCTTTCTAATGACCCACTAATTACTTTTTTCTTCTTAAACTTCCAGACGATTCATGCAGTTGTCATAGAGACAGAGAGAAGGGGAGAGAAGCTCCCCAAGGGTGTGGTCACACTCTAATCCTTTCTTTTCCTCTATTTCTCTATCCCATTGGAATTTGACATAGGCCCAGTATATTCTGAGTTTTTGTTTGTCTTTTTTTTTTTTTTGAGAGGCTTTTGCTGTAGGACACATGTGCTCACCAAGAGACAGAGCAGCAGAGAGAAATCAACCCTCAGGAGTATGGCCACACCACAGCCCCTTCCCATCTGTTCTCATCTTGTAATTTTGGGCACACACGCACATGTGCCCAGCATAAGTTTTAAACTGCTGGGCCTGGGACTTGAACTGTAGTCCAGTGACATAACCTTTATGCAGTCTGGTGGTCCCACCAGCATATTCTCAAAGTCACAGGGGTCAAGACTTAAAACTGGTCAGCCACATTGGATCTGGCTCCCAAAATTACTAGGCTGTAGGTCACCTAAGATTAGCATATTTCGATACTATTTTCCTGCATCTAGTAGGCATTTTGAGGGTGGGGAAAGGCAGAGGGGAAGGATTTTAAAACTTGAAATGAATACTATCAGAATGAGGTAGTCTATGGATTTGGTGAGCCACATCAACAGTTTTGAAGTGTTCCTGCCTATAGAAATATTCCTTACTCCTTGTATTTGGAAATTTAGCTTACCTGAATTGGTGTTTCCAACTTCCTAATGAGTTAATTTTATAAAGCAGAAGAATGATTCCAAATGGTAAAATACTCATGTGCATGAAGTTTTAATAAGAGTACATGAGAACTTATCTGAATTGAGTTATGTGAGCTATGTAGGAAGAAAAAAGAAAAAACAGTAATTGAGACCTTTATATATCAGACTTACTTGATTATAAGGTACTCATCCAGGTCTCTCACCTGGAGATTGTGGTTCAATAGGTCTGGGACTTCAGTGGGACCTGGTAATCCCTATTTTTGGTAAGCTCTCTGGGTTATCATTGGCAAGTTTGGGAAGTAATGATTTAAATAGTTCAGCCCTTACTGTTCCACTTCACTCATGTATAATTTGATCAGTTGACATAACATTGAATAGAGCAGACAAAAATCATTGCCCTCTTGAAGTTTACATTCTTGCTGGGGGAGAGACAACGAACTTAAAAAGTCAGTGGGCCATATGGCCAAGATTAGTGTGAGCCGCGAGAGAAATCTAGTATGCCTTTGGTGGATAACAGTTCTAAAACCAGCCGCGGTGTCCGCAATCAGACCTGATGAGTGAGGTTCTAACTTCTTAGCACACCTACTTTTAGAATAGCAAAGTCAGGGTCTGTTAACTGAAAACCCCTGTATTCAGTTTACCCAGCTAACCTTCCTAAAGGATTTTCCAGGCAAACTTTGACCTAAAGCGATTGCCCTGGCTCCCTCCTGTTTTTAGACATTTTAGTTATTATCTTTGTTATTTTTCAGGCATTTAGAAGCAAAGAATCAAATCCTTATGGTTTTTCTAGAGGATTAAACCATAAGAATACCTTTTGGTTCAAGCAAGTACTCTTTTTGGTTTAAGTTTTGTTAAAGTTTTTAATAAAAATGTTCTCTGCTAAGTGATGGAAACCAGTATTCTTAAAATTTAGAGTTAATAAAAAATGGAAAATTTACAAAATATTCTCACAGACATCTGGTTTCTTTATTAGCTTTTTTAATTTAATATTTTATTGTGTTAGATATCCATGTCTTATGCTTGGCAGTTGGGTCATCGGAAAAGTCATGACGCATTTTTGTGTAGAAAAACATAGAAAAATACATCATGACTTTCTGATGACCCAGTAGAAGGCTTTATTTTTAGCTTAAATGAATCTTGAAGAGTTGGGTTATATTTAGATTTCCTGCCTTGATTTTAGAAGGCAGTCTTCTAGGATAAGGGTTATTAGAAAGAAAATTATCAGTGTTATAGCAGTCCTTAATTTTAAGCAGTTCTCTGCTTATTGGAGCCCTCGGGAAGGCTGGTCATTTGTGAGAAGAGGGCTCTCCTTTTTCTTAAAGATGGAGTGTGACTTAACTCAGCCGCACCAGATGGTTCTCACCTGGCCTTCCTGGTGCTGCCAAGAGCCTGGGAAATGGGCAGAGTCCCGCATAGCTGTGGCCTCAGCTCCATCTCATGACACGACAGTGGCTGCCGACCTGGCAGCCTCTGAAAAGAATATGTCACTTTGTGGTCGGAGCCCCTGGTGAGTAGAAGACCCTTTTCTTCAAACTCAGTTAAATGTATTTAATGAAATTGAGTCGGTAGTAAAAATTAAAATCTCCCTTGGGCTGTTTGAATAGTTGTTTACTGTTTGGACACTTTAAAAATAACAACCCTTATATTGAAATTGCATTTTCCTTTCATTTATATAAAGCATTGAAAACAGTTGGACCAACCAAACTAATCCCATGTTGTCTTGCTTCTGGCCCTGTGGTTGTAAATGTAAGTGGGGCGAAAGCCATTTGAAGTAATGGCTTCTTTAAGTGTTGTCTTTTTCTCCTGCCAGGGAAGACATGTATGCCCAGGACTCCATAGAGCTGCTAACAACATCTGGTATCCAGTTTAAAAAACATGAGGAAGAAGGAATTGAGACCCAGTACTTTGCAGAACTTCTTATGACGTCAGGAGTGGTCCTCTGTGAAGGGGTCAAATGGTTATCATTTCATAGGTAAAAAGATAACATTGAAATGGCATTGGTGTGTCCTTCTCCTTCTGCCTTCACACTTACTTGGCACTGTACCAGCAGTTTCAGAGTTAGTGCAGTAACGCATTGCTTGCCATATAGCTGTCTCCTTAACTCCTGCAAAGCGAATGCTGGTATATTTGAAATTAATTTAGTTATATGGGATACATTTTAGCCGGTGAATAAACATTATTCAAGTGCTTAGAACATTCCCTATCACATGGTTAATGCTTAGTGTTAGACTCATTATTTTTTTTAATAATTATGTATTTAAATTTATTTGTTAGTTGTTAATTTGCTACAGGGAGTGTGTGCTCACCAGAGAGAGAGAGAGAAAGAGAGAGGAAAAGTGAGAAAGCAAGCCATCAGGTCCAGGACTCAAACCGTGGTTGGCTATGTGGGAAGTCCAGTGCCTTTACCACCACACCACCTGCTGGCCTTCCGTGTTAGACTCACTATTAAAATTAGAACAGTGTTAGGGACCAGCAGTTGGCATATTGGCTATGTCACTGGACTCCCATGTAGTCGACCGTGGTTCAAGTCCTGGACCCGGTGGCTTAAACTCACGCTGGGCATGTGTTCATGCGTGCCCAAGATCCCAAGAGGAGCATGGAAAAGAAGGAATTGAGGCAGGTCATCTCCCTGGAAGGTGATTTCTCACGCTCTGTCTCTCTCTCTGTCTCTGTCCTTCTGGTGAGCTCATGCACCCTATAGCAAAAACCTCTCCAAAAAAAAGTTAGAACAGTGTCTTGGAGCAAACTTTCCCTTGCGTTCCATCCAGTTCTCACTGTTGCACTATCGATCAAGGAGATCATGGTGACAGCGGTAAGGTAAACACCATGGCAAGAGTTGTATATGACATTTCATATACACACAGGCACAGACGGTGAGGTAGTCAGAATACCTGAATATGACTTGGCATGTGATGCATGGTGGGAACAATGTTTCTTGCAATCAGTATTACCAAGGCTTATTTAACCTTTCTTAATCTTAGGTTTTTTGTGTTCTATATGGGAAACTGGTCACCTAAAAAAACCTATTTATTTAGTATCTGCTGTATGCCAGGAATTGTGATAAGATGCCAAGAATTAAGTTGTGGACAAAAATGGACTGAAATTCTGTCCTCACGGAATTTACATTCTGCCGAGGGTAGTTAGGTAGATTTTATTACATGATGAAATTGATACTGTGGTTCATTGGGTAAGTGTCACTAGAAAATAAAACAGCAAACTCTAGAGAGTTGAGGGGGTTGAGTTTTAATTTTTTTAATAGGATGCTAAGTCATCCCTTAGGAATATTTCGCATGTTTCTTCTAATGATCAATAACATATTTAAAGCAGTGGGAAAGGTGCTTTCCACACAGTAAATTCTCAGTCATTGGTGATTTTTAATTTATTATACAATAAAATTAGATTAAAGAAATTAGTTAAAATTTAAAAAATAAATTTCTAGGTCTGAGAAGCAGTTTTTCCGCAAAGTAAACTGAAGTGACAGTTGAAGAATTAAAAGTGATCTTGGGCATGGTTTGATTTATCCTTTTGTTATGTTTTACAAAGCACTGTGGAGGCCAGCAGGTGGTGTGGTGGTTGAGTGCTGGAATTCTCACATGGCCAATCATGGTTCGAGTCTTAGACCTGGAGGCTTTCTCTCTCTCTCTCTCTCTCTGTCTTTCTTTGGCAAAACTCACATGAAAAAACATAATTAATTAATTCTTTTTAAAAGGAAAGCATCTTGTTACAACCCAGGTTCACGTTCTTATTCTTGATCCACTTCATGCATTGATTTTAAGTATGTGTCCCCTACATGCTTCAGAGTTTTTACCTCTGGCCAGTGGAATGATTACAGTGAAGGTTGTCCATACTGTGAACATTGTAGTCTCAAGGTATTTTCGGTTGGAGTTATTATTAAACATACTAATTCTTTTTTTTTTTTTAGAGAGATTTTTTTCTGCAGGGCGTATGCACTCACTATAGAGACAGAAAGGGAGAAATCACCTGCCAAGGGGTGATGACCACACCACAATCCCCTCTCCTCCATTCTCGCCTCAGAATCTTGGGCACACATGCAAACATGCTCAGTGTAAGTTTTAAGCCACCAGGTCCAGGACTCGAACTCCATTCAACCCTGCCGTAGTCCAGTGACGTAACTATTAAGCCACCTGATGGTCCCTGAATATTCTGATTCTTACTATCACCTTTTCTCTCCTTCCCTTTGCACTTGAACCCGTACCTCAGAAGACATGACTTTAGACGGTTAATTTAAGGAGCGGTTTAGTTATGAGGATGCACAAGAACTGGAAAGTGTTCTGTCCTTTCACTATATACAACGTCCTTTCTTTCATTGAGAAAACACTCTCGGAGAAGAACTATGGCATTAGGATGAACAAAACCAAAGACTTCTTGAAGTTTAGAATGTAGATTAGACTTACGTTTCAATATCTGTCAAGCTATATTATGATAAGGCTTTATTCCACTAAGTACTATTGGGCCATCGGAAAAGTCATGGTGTTTTTGTGTTGTTTTTTTTTTTCTTGGAGAGATTTTTGCTATAGGGCATGTGCACTCACAAGAAAGACAGAGAGAGAGACAGAGAGACAGAAAGGGAAAAACCACCCCCAAGAGAGGATGGCCACGCCACATTCCCTTCTCCTCCATTCTTCTCTCGGGATTTTGCGCATGCATGCACATGTGCCTGGCATGAACTTAAGCCATCGGGTCTGGGACTCGAACCATGGTCAACCACATGGGAGTCCAGCAACATAGCCATTACACCAACTGCTGGTCCCCATGGTTTGTTTTTCTATGTAAAAATTTGTCATGATTTTTCCATCAACCCAATATTACTATTCTTTCTATTCTAACTCCCGATGAAGAATGAAGAAATTTCTAAATTGTAATCTGTAGTACAATTTTATTTACACAGGTAGTAATTTGCTTAGCAAATGGCACATTAATTTATATTTTAGACAGTCAGAAAAGTTACTTCCTCGGCAACTAGCAGAAATTTCTGCTCTCCAAGGGACCAGCAGATAGCGTAGTGATTACAGCACTAGACTCTCACATGGGCCACCACAGTGTGAGTCCCGGACTTGGCAACTTGAAACTCATACTGGGCACGTGTGTGTACATGCCCAAAATACCAAAGGAGAATGGAGAGAAGGAATTGTGGCATGACCATCCCTCTTTGGGGATTATTTCTCACTTTCTGTCTCTCTTTGTCTCTCTGGAGTGCACACGCACCCTATAACAAAAACCACCCCCACCAAAAAAAACAAACAAACCAAAAAAAAACACTAAATTTCTGCTCTCCAATGCTTATACGTTGATTATTCTTTAATTATTCTTCGATTCTTTTTAATAACAGGAGTAAAATTCTACAACTTTATTTTATATATCCCCAAAAAGGAGGTTAATAACATCTCTAATCAAGTATTTGTTGAGTTCCAGCCATGTGCAAGGAATAAAACTTGTTTTGAAACTGTGATTCCTGCGCTTTAAACCAGTGCAGTAAACAATTTACACACTTTAAAGAGTAATGCAAGAAAACAACTTGTGCTGCACAAGAACTCTGGGAGCTGGGCTATTGAGGAAAAGCTTAGAGGCCCTCGAGGACAGGAAGATAAGAGGACTGCGTGTGTGATTGGCATGGAATGCAAGGAGAAGGCACACAGTGGGAGGGTCTCACAACGGGGGGAGACCTTGACTTAATAGCACGGGGTGGGTTTGTTACCTAGGAGAGCAGTCGTCAGCCTTTCCCCTTTCGCGCGCAGCGTTCCCATTAAGCCACGTTCCCCGGAGAGCCATGCCGAGAAATCAACAGAATTGTGAGGGAAGTTAGTATTTGCTAATAAAATCACGTAAGGGGCGTGAAAATACTTGGTGAGAGATTTCCTCCTTGGACTTTCAGGTGTATGACCGCTTGATGTAAAAGAAAGATTTGCTCTTTTTTCCCTGACCTCTCTTAGGTCGTTCCTCTTGCTATCTATCGATTATTTTGGCCAAATATCTTTTCATCTTTATCCATTTCCATGGTTGTTTAAAATGTTCTGAGACAGCTGTGAGCAACTTGGTAGTCATCTTACTGTGCTCAGTTCAGTTAGCGGCAAGTAGTGTCTCAGTGGCTACAGGCCTGGGTTGGTAGTGCGGCTCATAGCTCTCAATGATCAAGTGACAGTTCCCTGACCCTGTTCATAAGATCCGCATTTCCCCATTGCATTCGTAAATATGTTTGTTTTCCCTGTTCTTAAGTGTGCTTTTCTGGGTGGGGTGTTCATTTCTTTTTTGCCTGTAGTGTGACTCACTTGCAATTTTTTATCAGGAAAGTGTATTTTTCTTCTTTATGGTATTTATATGTCCCTCTTCTGTATTCTCTTAACCCTTTTGTAGTGGTTATGACTTTGGCTATTTAATCAAAATCCTGACCAACTCTAACTTGCCTGAAGAAGAACTCGACTTCTTTGAGATCCTTCGGTTGTTTTTTCCTGTCATTTATGATGTGAAGTACCTCATGAAGAGCTGCAAAAATCTCAAAGTAAGGCTGCCACCTGCATTACCTGAATTAACACTGTTCAGACCAAGTGACTGACATCAGATCCTGGGCTGAGGTGTTGCTCTAGCCATATGTTTAAGTTTTATATTAAATGCAGTTATATTATCTGGTGATGTCATTCCTTTTTTTTTTTTTTTTTTTTTTGCATAAGTAATAAAGATTGAGTATCTCTTACCTCAGATGCTTGGGACCAGAAATGTTTTGGATTTCAGATTTTTTTTCAGACTTGGGACTATTTGCATATACATAATGAGATTTTGGGGGGTTAGGACCCCAAGTCCAAAAACAATTTATTTATGTTTTTATATATACTTTGTACCCACAACCTGAGGGTAATTTTAACCAATATTTTTAATAATCTTGTGCATGAGACTCTGAGCACGCATGCATTAGGGAACCTGGGCATGCTCAGAAAAGATCTCTAACAGCTGATGCGGGCTAGAAATGCTGCACCTGTGTTTTGACTGGCCTGTCAGGTCAGGTGTGTAATTTTCTACTTGTAGCATCATGTCAGTGTTCAGAAAGTTTCAGAGTTTGGAGCATTGCAGATTTGAGCTTTTCAGATTAGGAATGCTCAAGCTGTCCGATTAGCAGTTGCCATAATGGTTACATCTCTGGACTCCCAGGTAGTCAACTGAGGTTTGAGTCCTAGACCCTGAGGCTTGAAACTCAAGCCAGGCATGTGTGCATGCGTATTCAAGATCCTGAGGGGAGAATGGAGGAGAAGGGATTGCGGCATGGCCATCCCCCATGGGGAGTGATTTCTCTCTTTCTGTCTCTCTGTCTGTCTGTCTCTCTCTGTCTCTCTGGCAAGCGCACACACCCTATAGCAAAAAAACACTCAAAAAAAGGAAAGCGCAAGTTATAACTGACAGGAAATCCTTTTTCAAAGTCAGTATATCTCAGAATAAATTTTCAGCGAAATTCATCTGAGGGTCATATGTTTGTCATTGCTTGCCAAATTGAAAACTCATGAACCAAAGCAGAAATGTGAGGACTCGTAAGGTTCTTATGTGCACGAAAGTACAAGTTCTCTCTCCCGACACACACGTATCCATTTACACAAGCTGAAGTCTGAAGTGTCGGTGTGCATATGTGTTCCCTGGTGTGGCAAAAGGAGTCTCCCAGACGAGGCCTAGCCTCCTGATTAAGGGAGCCTGTCCCACATGGCCGACCATGCAGTTCTAAACATAGCCCCACTGGCCTGAAAAACACCAGGAGCGTGTGTGTGCCCCAGATCCCACCCAGATGTAGAGACTGGGGAGAAGGGATCGCACCGTGACTGTGGCTCTTCAGGGTGCTTTCTCCTTCCCTTCCCACATCTCTTCCTCTGGTGCATTCCCATGCCTGCTAGCAATTAAAAGAGTTTTTCTCTTCATCTAACCTTTGCTAGAGATTATTTTGTTGCTTCTAGTCATAGATAATATTCCTAGGATTAAATTACTGAAATATTTCAGCTAGGATTAAATAGCTGAAAGATTTTTTTTTTCCTCACTGTCCAAAAGGTGTCAGCTAGGGGTGAGCGCTACAGTAAATGTGTAAGCCCTGCCTAGACACTTGCTCACTATTCACACTGCTTAATGTGTGTGGAATAACTTACTATTTCCGAACTTTAAGTTCGATAAAGAAAAACGCTTCTTCAGTTTGAGAACAGATTCACCTGTGGTGGCACAGCCCCCTGGAAATCAAGTGGTTTCATTTCAATGTTTAGGTCTGTGTGTTTACACTGTAACTAAAAAAAGGAAAAAAATACATTCAGGCACTGTGTTTGAGAAGTTCATCAAGTTTGAGACGTTCAAAGAGTTAAACTTCTAGAAATACTTTTAGGAGACAGTAAGGAATTTCAGAGCTTTACTTTTTCAAGAAGAAACAATAAGGAACTGAATAAGGGAACTTTGCTTTAACAGATGAACTGAAAGTCAGAAGATAAAAGTCCTTGGGCCAATGTTTGTCCCTCGTACAGGATATGATTGGCATATAACTAGGGAAATGTTTCATAAAGATTACTTTACGTCTGTATACCCTATCACAGCAGACTTCCAGCAAATGACCTTGCAATAAGGTGGCCCTATGTAGAAACTCAGCACACAGTGAAAGTATTGTGTGCTGAGGATCAGTGTAGCCGAGCTGTTTAATCTGGCTTTGGAAAGGATTTTTTAATTGATGGTGGTTCAGTAACAGTTTTCAAGAACGAGGAGCCAAATTACTGCTCATTAAGTGTGTGCTCTTGGGAACTTCCTATGTATATCAGACATTGTGAATATGTCCTGAGTGTGACGCTGTGTTAAAATAGGTTAATGACAAAGGCACTTTGTGATTTACAGCTGGCATACTGTCCTAGACTCATGTCCTAAGCAGCTACTGATGATACCTAATCTTCATGCTGTTTTTAGCACAGAGCAGCTGCTGTGCAGAAGCGCTAGTTTGCTAGCAGAGATCTTAACAACTTAGAGTGGAATTTCTTTGTCGTTGATGTTTATTTTTTTCCTTCTCCCCCATCTAATTTTTCCTTCTTTTTTTCCTCCTTCTCTGTTTTCTTTCCTTCTCTTTTTTTCTTTCTTTTCCTTTCTTGTGCTTTTCATTATCTTTCTTTTTTTAATCCTGTTGGTATTAACAGGGAGATTATATAGCAGACCTCTCTAAGGCTTGTGTTTATAACAAACCTGTTTTTCTTCCTAACTAACAAAAACATTGTTAAGCATTTAGTGAATTTTTAATAATTTGATTGCTAAAAATAGCTTGGTTTTGTAAAAGCTAGATGGAAATGGAAATTTAAGAAAATTTGAACTAAACTGCCTATAGTAGTTGCTCAGTTTTACAATTATTGAGGAATCAACAGACTGCGGAAGTACTTGATTAGTGGTATCTTGTATCTGAGCTGCCGCCCCCATATCTTTAGGAAGGTTATTTCCCTGACACATGCCTTAAAACATATAAATATTCCCAACTAGGATCTTATTTTTCTTAAACTGTAGACTTCTCCCACATTATCAAAAACTAGTAATTTCACATTTTGAAGTTTCTTGGTTTCCATGTTCCTAAGGTTTTTCTTTACACATTAAAGTTCATATTTCACTTAGTATCTAAGTTTGGAATTTGTGAATTATGCATTGCAGTGGTTCTCTTTCTCACAAACAGTTTTTATTTCTTTCAGGGTGGATTACAGGAAGTTGCTGAACAGTTAGAGCTGGAACGGATAGGACCACAACATCAGGCAGGATCTGATTCATTGCTCACAGGAATGGCCTTTTTCAAAATGAGAGAAGTATGAAGACATCTGTGCTTTTTCTCAGTGCTTAGATTGAGAACATTACAGCAGAAGTTTAGGGGCAATAAGTACCTACTAAGTGAAAATATAATCAGATATACTATATGAGACACACCTACCACACTTGAATGAAAGTATTTAAAAAAAAAAATTCATTTTAAAATGTAGTTCAGAAAGAAATGGAATAAGTTCTTCATAGAATATAAAATAAATTGCCTTGGAAATTATATAGACCCAACCCTATTTCTTAGTTGAAAAACCAGGCCAGAGGCTAGTAATTTTTATCCAAGGTCAAATATATTGCTAGAGATGACTCCTGGTATCTCTGTAGAGTACACCAGTGCTGCTTCTACCAAGCCAAAAGTACCCGTATGTGAAGGGTGCCCCAGCCGGCCTCCTCGTAGGCTTTAAACTTGGGGTAAGAACATTTGTTCATCGCCATTCCTCAGTGCATCAGTGATTTTAAAGGGTAGGGTTTATGCTTTTTACTAGGTTACAAAGGGCTTCTTAAGTCTAGAGGAGTTGAATAATCCGAAGCAATAATTGAATCAAAAACGATATTGGGAAGATCCTCCTTAAACAGCAAAAGGTTGCGATTAGTTTCTTAAACATAAAAAAATTAGCTATGAATGAAATGTTATGAGCCCATGTCTGCTCTCAAGTTACATAATTAAGTGATACAGGTATACCTTGCTTTAGGTGAACGTTAAATCCGTTGTACAGAAACAGAATAAGGTGAACTTTTTGCAAAATATTTGTATGGAATTTTTTTGTTTAAGAATTCTTTATTGGGGCCAGCTGGTGGTATAGTGGTAAGGCACTGGACTCCCACGGGGTCAATAGCAGTTCAAGACCCAGCCCTGGTGGCTGGAAACTCACACTAGGCACATGTATGCATGTGCCCAAAATTCTGAGAGGAAAATGGAATACAAGGGATTGCAGTGTGGCCATCTCCTGGGGTATTGTGATTTCTCACTTTCTGTCTCTGTCTAGCAAAAATCTCTCAAAAAAAAAAAAAGAATTATTTATTTAATTTTATGTGGTGTTATTTTTTAACTTGACCAGAGAGAGAGAAAGGGAAAGTGAGAAAGCAGTCCACCAGGTCCAGGATTTGAATCAAGGTCGGCCAGATGAGAGTTCAACACCTTAACTACTATGCCACCTGCCAGCCCCAGGAATTCTTTTAATTATATCTTCTTAGACATTAAAGAACTGACTGAGACTAGGAATTTAAAACTTTTGTAGAAATAGATTAGTACTGGGAACCAGCAGTTAGCGTAATGGCTATGTTGCTGGACTCCCATGTAGTCGACCACTGTTGGCGTCCTGGACCCGGTGGCTTAAAACTCACGCCGGGCGCGTGTGCGTGCGTGCGTGCCCAAGATCCCGAGAGGAGAATGGAGGAAAAGGGATTGCGGCATGACCATCCCCCCTGGGGGGTGATTTCTCGCTTTCTGTCTCTATGTCTCTCTCTCTCTCTCTCTGGCGAGCGCATGCGCCCTAAAGCGAAAACCTCTCCAAAACAAAAATAGATTAGTACTCAAAAGCATTACAGTTGTTTTGCCAAGTAGTATTGATTGAGAAGTGATCTGGACTACCCATTCATGAAAAGTAAAAATTTTGTTTTATATTCCTTCCCAGTGCTTCATTAGGGAATTAAAGCATTGTTTGGATTTTTCAACTTTGCATTTTTAAAATGCCCGATGATTTAATTATTAGTGCGTTTCTAGCACTAACTTGTTATCTTTGTTTTTCTCGGTCTGTTCAAGGACAGTAACCTAGTATGAGTGTTCAGATTTTACAGCCCAGTAGTTCACATTTAGGTTTGCTGCTTTTTAGCCAGCTCAGCCAGATTCAAGGCAACTTAGAAACCTAAACTTCTTGTCACCATCATCGCCTACTTTCATTCTTACTGTTGTGTAGTGTTAAAGTAATGGAATAAAAATTACAAACTTTCATAGCAATGTTCCAGATGTTCATGAGAAAGACATGTATTTATACAGTTTTTATAGTTGCTTTGGTTTCTTCTGAGCTGTACTCTTTGAGGACATGACTTTAATTCATTGAATGTACGTGGCCTCAGAGAACACCAGAGAAAGGCACTGTCATAGTGGGAGCAGTCAGTATGTACATTGCTGAAGTATAAATGACAAGTGGTACCTTTGGTTAAATGATGTTTTTTCTTCTTCAAAATTCCTTTTTAGATGTTCTTTGAAGATCATATTGATGATGCCAAATATTGTGGTCATTTGTATGGCCTTGGTTCTGGTTCATCCTATGTCCAGAATGGCACAGGGAATGCATATGAAGAGGAAGCCAACAAGCAGTCATGACATGAACTAGTCCTTTCACTTTTATTTTATTCGAGCTACACACATGCTTGTACATAGGTTTTATCTCTGGTTGACTCCCTTGAACAATAGACAATACCTTTTTTCCCCCTTTCATAGCCTGTTTTATTTTCTGCTTTTCAGTACTAAGTATGACTGTTCTATTTTCAGATTTTAATAAATAGAAACACATTCAGGTTAAATTTGGCCTTAATTTAATATACTTGTTAGCAAGCGTGTGTGACAGAGAGTGGGGAAAGCTGCTTCATATTGAATATTTTGATAAACTTCACCTACTTGCGCTTGGTTTGTTTTCCCCCTTTCCTAAATTAACTAGCACTGACTGTAATTTATTTCCCTGTGTCATGTCTCTTTCTTCCATTCTACAGGAGTTTTAGCTATTCAAGATTGTGGACCATCAATTTTGCACTTTAAAGAGTGATTCTGACTCAAATCCTCTGTTTTATCAGAAATTTGGTTTTTCTTGCTCTTAGCTGGGAAAAATGACCATCTGCCAACTTTATACAGTATTTGCTTGTTTTTGACCCACACAATATCGCACATTAATTGTGCAAACTGTCGATTCAGCAAGACTAACAGAAAAAGACAAGAAACTACTGAGGAGCTTAGTAACTGCTGTTTCTGTCTGTAGTGTTTAATCTTCCAAGCACATCTAGTGTCTGTCAGTTTCTAATTGGCATGGCTAGGCTGCTCTGTGATTGAGGACTTTTAAAACCAGCTTTACACCCTTCAGGAGAAATCCTTTGTGATTAGATGTTTAGCATCTGCAGGAAACGTATTCAACATGTCGAAGCTACCTTAGTTTATGATAGCACACTTCCCTTGATCCACTCCTTTTATTCCATCACTGTTTATCTGTACCTTTTTGTTTTATAGCCATGCTATGATGCTCTTGATTTGTTGACTACACAAATCAATTTCATTAAAATCCAAAGATAACAAGTCTTTAGGTATCTTTTGTACCAAATTAAATTAGAAGACAAAAATTGTGCTTTCATAGTTGGAACAAAGATAAATAATAATAATGGAGCAATTTGGTGCAAAACAACAAAATACAAAATATATAAATATATATATAAACATACACACACATACATAAACATACATACACACACACACACACACACACACATATATATATATATCGCTAATAAAATTACCTGAGGAGTGTAATGCTTGTTTATTTTTTTGTGTATATCTTTGCAATCTATTTTATATATATTGACAAGAGACTGTGAAATATTTAGCCATGCAGAATATGTGGCCAGACCAGAGCATGTGTAGGAAGGTTTTTGGTAATCATTAACAGCCCTGAAATGACGGACTCCAGGTTATGATGTGTGTTATCTACACTTCAATCAGTAATACTAGCAAATCTCCAGATGTCAGCCACATTGGTTTGTTTTCCTTGTATACTTTATTCATGATATTTCGATGCTGTAACTGGGTGGTCCTTTTTAAACAAAACATTATTTGCAAACAGAGGGTATTATTTGTTTTTAAAGCTTTTGTAAATAAAGGCTTCAGAAATGTTTTCTTACGTTTGTTGGTCACTGGTCATTTTGTCATAGAAACACTCATTGGAGCATATGCAGGGAGGGGCAGCTAACAACTTACTGGCTTCCTTCACTGAGCGTAGGCAATTACTGCTCTTTTCATTGAAAAATGAACACAAGCCTTCTGTATTCAGCCATGTCGGGTTTTTCTTACTCTTATAAGTGCCAGCTGGGTAATTAATCAATTTCTGGGCCAGCTCCATAGCACAGTGGTTAAGTGCTAAGCATTGGGACTTGGCTCTCACAGAGTAAATACATTTGGTATAATTTATTGTGACTTTTTGTTTGTTTTTGTCATAAGGCATGTGCATTCACTGGAGAGAGAGAGAAAGTGAGAGATGGTCCCTGGGGAGATGGCCACGCCACAGTCCCTTCTCCATTCTCTTGGGATTTGGTGCAGGTACGTGCACTCACCTGGTGTGATTTTCAAGCCTCCAGGTTTGGGGCTCAGACTGCAGTAAGCAGTGTGGGAGTCTAGTGCCTGAACCACCACACCACCTGCTGTCCCCAAAGATTGCTTTTTTAGTGGTCACATGGTTGGTGAATTTTAATACTTGTATCAATTTTTGTTTTTGTTTTTGGAGAGGTTTTTGCTATAGGGTGTGTGTGCTCACCAGATAGAGACAGATAGAGACAGAAATCCCCCCCCAGGGGGGATGGCCACACCACAATCCCTTCTCCATTTTCCTCTCAGGATCCTGGGTACGCGCATATGCACCCGGCGTGAGTTTTAAGCCACCGAGTCTGGGACTCGAACCATGGTTGACTACATGGGAGTCCAGTGACATAGCCATTATGGTAACTGCTGATAATTTTGGTTTTATTTTTGTCTCTTAAAGTATACTAGTTCACAACTTCTTTAGAGAAACATTATTACCTTTACTAAATCTAGGTTTGGGGTATAAAAGGTTTGGCAGGGTTTTCTTTGTTTTTGTGAGTGTTCCTTGGCCGCTAATTCTGGACTCAGCATCCTGAAATCTAGAACAAGGGTCAATGAAGTACTTGGCAAGATATTTGGGCCTACAAGTTATTTGTAGACCGACATCATCATGCTACCTGCTCCTGTGTGGCCCAGGAGCGGAATGTTTCCTTTTAAATGGTTTGGGGGAAATCACACTATTTCCTGACATGTGAAAATTATATGAAACTTAAAGTTCCATGTCCATAAATGAAACTTTATCAGAAGGAAACCACATTCAAAGCACACATGTGGTTCGTGGCAGCTGCTTTGCTAGCATGGCACAGGCAGTAGCTGCTGCAGAAAACGGCCTGTCCAGGTCCCACTGTTGAGACAGCTGCGTGGTGTGCTGCAGCACGTCTGCACTGCCATCTGTGCTGCCGTACCGCAGCGGCGCGCGCTCGTTCCTCGTACTGGGCGTGCCCATTTGTAAAACCGAGAAAGCACGTTGAATGTTGTTTTCAGGCACATTGGACAGAGGATTCTTTTGATGTGATGTGTGATGACAACCAAACTGCTGAAATACATACCTTGGCACTATCACTATATATATATCACTATATATGTGTGTGTGTGTGTGTATATGTATGTGTATATGTATATGTGTGTATATATAGTGCCAATGTATATGTCTGTGTGTGTGTGTGTGTGTGTGCACACCACACACAGGGCAGAAAAATTTTAGTTGATCAAATTTGGAATGCTTGTGAAAATGTAAGGTTTTGTTTTCTTAGATTTTCTTTTTTTTTTTTTGCTATAGGGTGCATGTGCTTGCTGGAAGGACAGAGAGAGAGAGAATTCACCCCAGGAGGGATGGCTACACTGCAGTTCCTTCTATTCTCTCTTAGGGCTTTGGGCACCCACGTACATGTGCCCAGTGAGTTCCAAGCTCTGGGTCCAACACTCAAACCATGGTGGGAGTCCAGGACCTTAACCTCTGCTGGCCCCCAAAATGTAAGGTTTTAAAACTTGTAGGTATTACTCATTAGTGGGTACTTTCTAGAAAAGATTGGTGGTATTGAGCTGGTAGTATAACAGTGAACCTCCTTCAGTCCTGACAAAGTTCGATTAATTTTTATGGGAACCAAAAGCTGAATATCCTGATTTGATCTACCAGGTGAAGCAATGAAAAGGGGTGTGCGTGTGTGTGTGTTTAGCTCAGGGCTGAATGCGACCTGTTCTCAACCACTATATGGGAACACTGAGTTGCTCTGAAAATAAGCCTTTGTTGCAGGTTTGATAGAAGGAGCATATAATGGGGATCAGCAGGTGGCAAAATGGTTACACTGCTGGACTCCCACAGTCGACTGTGGTTTGAGTCCCACTAGGTGCATGTGCACGAATGTGTGCGTGCGTGCCCAAGATCCCGAGAGGAGAAGGGACTACAGCGTGGCCATCCCCCTTGGGCGTGGGAGAGGGGGGATTTCTTTCTCTGTCTCTATGTCCCTGGTGAGCACACACGCCCTATAGCAAAAATCTCTCTTAAAAAAAGTATAATGACTGACCTAAAATTACAAAGCACAGCCGCAGTTATACTGTGGTAAAGTCATTTCAACAAAAACTAGTGTTTAAAGTACAAGACAAGCCTGCTTTATCCACTTTAAATACTATTTAACAAAACAGGCAGGGTCTGGTAGTCGTGCAGCTGAATGCAGGAGACTTCCTGGGTTTGCGTACTGGGACCTCCTGGAGGGCACCAAGCACACCCACACGTGTACCTGTGGTCTTGATCAACAGAGATGGGGGAGTGCCAACCCTGGTGGGGGTGCCTCTTGCATGGAAGAAATTTTTTTTTTGGAGAGGTTTTTTGCTATAGGACGCGTGCGCTCGCCAGACAGAGACAAAGAGACAGAGAGTGAGAAATCCCCCCCGGGGGGGATGGTCACACCGCAATCCCCTCTCCTCCATTCTCCTATCAGGATCCTGGGCATGCACACACACGCGCCCAGCATAAGTTTAAGCCACCAGGTCCGGGATGCGAACCGCGGTCGACTATGTGGGAGTCCAGCGACATAACCATTAAGCTAACTGCTGGTTCCCAGAAGAAATCTTTGTTTTGAGAGAGAGATTTTTGCCTTAGGGCACATGTACTCCCAGGAAGAGAGGGGCAGAGACAGAGCGAAGGTGAGAAGGGTGATTTCACCGCAGTTCCTCTTCCAGGTGTGATTTTTAAGGCGCCGTGTCGGGACAGCCACGTGGGAGTCCAGCAACGTTGCCTCTACACCATGTGCTGGCCCCTCAAGAAATCTTTTTAGGGAGTGTAAACAGGGCTGGCCTTCTGTGAGTCCTGTGTGCAGGGAGTCAGATCCCAGATGACTGGCTGCAGTCAAAGCATGGCCCTGCCAGTTGGAAAAACACGCCAGGCCTGTGTGCTCCAAACCCTGACGGTAGGGCCAGTCTGTGGTATGGACTAACATCAGGATTCCACATGGCTGACAGCACAGTTTGAGTCCCCAATCCAGTGGCTTGGAAGACACAATGGACGTGTGCATACATGTGGCCCAAAATCCCGCGAGAATGGAGCATAGCCCTGGAGGGTGCTTTCTCACTCCGCTCCCCCCCTCACCCCCATGCCGTCCTTGGGGAGTGCATCTACTATATAGCAAAGTTTAAAAGAAAAATCCTGAGAGGATGGATTAAAGAGGATTGCACGTGACCAAACCTTATTGGGTTGACTGTGTTTTGTCTCTGGAGAACACATATACCCTTTAACAAAAACACATATAGAAAGTCAAAACGGGCTGGCAGAAGGCATGGTGTTAAGGTGCTGGACTCCCACTGGGCCAACTGCGCTTTGAGTCCCAGACCTGGCGCCTTGCTTTCTCACTTTCCCTCTGTCTAGTGAGTACATGTGTCCTATAACAAAAATAACGTTAAATATTTAAAAAAATTTTTTAATTAAAAAGAAAAAAAGAATGCCCATTGGATGATCACACCCTGTTGAACTGATCATGTGCCTGGAGCTCCCGCCCCAGTTGGCCCTTAGAAACGCACGTGAAGAACACCTCCAGGAGACCTGCCCGTGCCCTTCTCTGCATTGCAGTAATGCTGTACTGTCCTGGTCACACCACGTGCCTACAGTGTGGTGTGTAGTGCTTGGGCGAGCCGTGACCTCATCCCTTCTCCTCCATTCCTCTTTCCGTTTTAGGCGCACACATGCACCTGG